CTTCTGTGATACTGACCTCTCACTCGTGCCTCTGCAGGTTCACCCTTCACGCTGAGCACACCCAGTGCCCCTGGACCACTGGTTTTCACTGCCCTCAGCCCTGACTCCCTGCAGCTCAGCTGGGAGAGACCCCGCAAGCCCAATGGGTCCATCTTGGGCTACATGGTCACCTGTGAGATGCTGCATGGAGGAGGTATGGTATCAGGCCATGGAAGCCCAGTTGCCTCTGCAGAGAACAAGATACCTCCAGCAAAGGCAGCAACTTGCTGCATTTTTGCTGGGACAAGCAACAAAGCTGTCCACTTCCATCAGTGCAGACAAAGTGGAGACATGAGGCTGACTCCAGAGCTGGGAGCTGCTGGACTCTGACGCTTTGTGTCATTGCATGGCCTGGTGTAACAGATGTGGTGGGAAGAGGAAGGACCTGTAGCTTATTACAGCCCAAAGCCAGTGGAAGTTGTTTGTTGAGGATCAGCATTGTGCTAAAATGGGGTTGTCTTAACCCTGAGTAGAACTGGGTGATGTGATCATAGTCTGTGGAGGGCATAGAGCTTAGGGAAAGCCAAGACACCAGCCAGAGTTGGGGGGAGTGTGTTTGGAGGGACTGTCACTCCTGTCTGTCTTCACTGCTGGTATGTCTGTGTGGATTAGGGGAGCCCAGGAATATCTATGTTGAAGGAGACAATCCAGAAACTACCCTGACTGTGCCCCACCTGAGTGAGAATGTCCCATACAAGTTCAAAGTGCAAGCCAAGACAACCCAAGGCTTTGGCCCAGAGAGAGAAGGCATCATCACCATCGAATCTCAGGATGGAGGTACAGTACCATGTTTTTGTGGAGGTGGAAAAATAAGAAACGTCTCAGAGCAGGGAACACAACTCCTGAAGTCCCTTTCCAGCTCTGGTGGTGACCCCATTTCCCAGGAAAGATTTGGAGACATTGTCTTCAACTAAAACAATTCTGTGCCTTGTGAGCACTGTCCCAATCCTGATGCACTGAATAAGGGAGGATCTTGAGAACCTGCCAGTGTTTAATTTATTATGAAACGTCTGTCTTATGTCTGGTTGTACACAAACCTGGAGGCAGCTTCTTATACTGCACAGGTCCTCTGTCCTCCCAGTTCCTCCTAAACCTGGCTCTGATGTCGGCAAGACAAACCTCCCGAGCTGACTGTTGGTGCTCACTGTGCAGGGTCGAGGGGTGGGAAGCTCCTTGTCGTTTTATGGCTGACTCGTCCCTTTTCCTTCTCCCCAGGCACTTTCTCCCAGTTTGGAGGACAGCAGTACATGAGAGAAGAAGTGTACAACTTCCCCACCGACTACGCCACCAAAACCAGCATCAGCCATTCCTCCCTGGATCCCCAATTCACAGGTAGGGGCTCACTGTCTGCTTTGAAACCCTCGGAAAGCAAAGGCTAACTCTGCTTGTCCAAAGGTCTGAGGGTGATTTTACCCCAAGTGTCAAAGGCAGGGAGGGAGGGTCCATCAGCTGAGGTGGATGAAGAGGACCTACACTGTGTCCCTGCTTTGCTCCAAAGGCAGTTGCGGTCATTTCCCCGTGTGCTGCCCAGTCACAGAGGGAATGCTGAATTTTCAAAGTCCACCGAGACTATCGCTAGGGAGCAAATCATAGCTCTTCCTGCAAGGTTAGATCTCTTCAGAGCCGAAAAAGAGAGAAGTGTGATGACTGCCTTTAATTACACCAGTGTAGTTGTCCCATGTTGTCCCCCTTGAGCTCAAGGACTCACAGGTTCACCTCGTGACGTAGAGAGTTTGGGAGCTGTTAGGAAATCCATCTTATTGACTGACATAGCAAAGTATTGAATTACTTGATCCAGAGAAGTTTTCCATCAGTGCAAGTGGTATTTAAGGAGAAAGAAACCTCTGCCAGGAATGGCCAGGTAGAGCAGATCCCGATCCCCGTGACCCCACACTTCGTGCAGTGTCCTGACCACCGAGCCTCTCGTTGCAGACGGCATGCTGATGACGACCCAGCGAATGGAGAGCGCCAGCAGCACCCTCACCAAACAGGTCACCAAAGAGTTTGTGAGCCGGACCGTGATGTCCAGCGGAACCCTCACCAAGCAGATGGAGAGGCAGTTCTACGAGGCCTGAGCCAGGGCAGGCTGCCTGCCAGCGGGACGCTGCCGTTCAGCTGGCGGGACTTTGTGGAACGATCCAAGGGCGCTTTGTCCAGATGCTGCGGCAGTGCCTGGGCAGCTCCTCCTGTGGGCAGAGACCCTCCATGGCACTTCAAGCTCTGGACCTCTCCTTTGGAGCCCAGTGCACTCAACACTCTGGCACAGTTGGGTCATCAGGTGTGTGCTCATCCTTCAGGGCTCGTTCACCCTGTCCTGCTCTGCAAGAGACTCAGTTCTGCGGAGTCCGCAGGGACGTCTTCCACGAACAATCGCCACTCACTCCAATACCATTCTTCAGTGGCCATCCCTCCAAATACACTTACAGAAATTGGCGTGTCTGGATGGCTCCAACCTCTCCAGACAAATGGAACAGAATTATTTATGCTCAGGTCCTCACTTTTGAGAGGATCCCAGCTGGCAACATCCTGATTTATAGAGGGTCACCATTTCCATCTTTGCTCCAGGCTCTCCAGCAGCTTGACTGCCCACTGGAGATGGTTATATTGTTCTGTTTTGGGGTTTTTTTTATATGAGAGCTGCAAGGTAGGGGTTCGGGGTAACCTATGCTTTCTTACTGCACCTATTTGTGTCTGTTCTTCGCTGCTAACATTTGGTACCACGATAGCAAAGTATAGCCTTTCATTTGTATAGCGTTACTCCTGAGGGCCTCTGATGCTTTTTTTTGCATACAATATTGTACAGTTTTCGCAGTATATATATAAATATATATAAAATGTATTTTATTATTTTATAAAAATTGGAGGTGGATGAGATCTATGCTGAACGTGGAGGCTACACTGGGACTGTAGCTGCTGAGAAACATGAATAACTGGAAGAAATTAGTTAAGGGCTTGATGCAAAGGCCACTAAACCCTGTGGAAAGCCTGTTGATGAGCCGGCGGGCTCTGCCTTGGGCCTTTTATCCTCCAGCAGAAGGCTGCAAGCGGCC